ACCCTCCGCGAAACGATACTTACTCTTCTCCCTGCTCACGAAAAGAACGGCGGGAATAGGCGGGAAACTGTTATCCTACCATATGTGCTACAGCCTGTACAGCCACTCGACCTCTGTCATTGTTTTGATCGTCAACTGTCGCAAGCATCCGTGAATCTGTCACGCCGTGAATCTGATCACGCGATTTTACGAAAGGGCCGAAAGGCTGCGTTCGGAAAGCGCGCTCAGCGCGCTATTAGCGCTATTGCATCATTGACTTGCGCGACCGGTATATCCCCTCCATCTGACAATGAGTAGTTCGGACACGAACACGAACCATAGCACGGATACGAACCCATGTATCATTACCGATACCGAGCGTAACGACGTAGTTGACCGAGTTGGGCGAGAGTTGATGACGTCCACTTTCTCAGAGGGCAGATTAGAGGTTTGTTCGCGTCGCATACTCCAATAAACACCAAGAGCACTTGGATCACGGATAAAAAGTGGCGATTGGAGCAGATGAGTTTTTGGAGTGCGTTGGAGTGATCAGGAGCATGGTGGGGCATGCGACGCGAACAAACTTTAGGAGTTAGGACAGGTGTCCCCGTCCCCCGAAGCGTGATGGCCGCTCTCAGGTTAGGTTTCTTTCTGGTTGAGATATGAAAATACGAAGCCGGTGACGGCGGTGACGAGCTCACGAGTGAACAGGAGAAAAGTTGTTTAAATACATGTATATACATCTGTCTTGTACTTTATAAAAATGGATAGCAGTGTAACTAACGATGCAACAATGGGACCTGAATTAATAAAAAGTTACCAGCAGATATTGCTTAACAATGTGTTTGCACAGGTACAACTATAAGTGGAGCTATACTTCTCAATTATATCTTAGGTAGTGATTCCTTGTTTATATTTGTTACATTCTAAAAATCGAATGCGCTACGTTACAGAAACTTGAGCAAAATGAAAAACACACCAAGACACTAACCGATTACAAGAATAGGCACAAAAAGGTAATAGAGGGACTTGAAGTATATCCGTTATCTGTCTCTGAGAATTGTATGGTGCCCATCGGCAAGCGGGCATTTATGAAAGGAAAATTAACTCATACTAACGAAGTCTTGGTATTTTTGGGAGATGGCTACTTTGCCAAATACAGCGCATCACAAGCGATCGCATTGTGCAACAGGAGAATAGCATGTATAAATATCATGTAAATCTTTGAAAATGATTTATATCAGATTCTACAACTTGTTACATGTTATTATGTTCAGGGGCGGATGAAATGCTGAAGAGTTTAGAAACTGAGAGGAACTTGTACGAAATGAGACAATATCTTCCATTGGGACATGATGTTTTTGGAAAAGAGGATGGAAAAGATATCGTGGAACATTGGACTGAGAATAAGCTTGATGAGTGGAGAGGTATATAAACAATTTTTACATTTTTATTTATATTACGCTGGACACAAAAATTAAAATGTCTTTTTTTGCAGTACAACATAGAGAGCGTGAGAAGGAGTATCATCAGAAATTAGCAAAGTTGAAAGCAAAGGAAAAGACTGACATTCGTACCGAGAAAGATATTTTCAAGAGACTTGACGAATTAGAGATAGAAGAGGAATTAGAAGAGGAAATTTACAGGTTACAATTCAGTTGTGCAATTAAAAACTCACATTCGATGATTTACCGTTCTATCATTGCAGATTGGAAGCTGAACGAAAAGAATTTTATGGCGATGATTTGAAAGACGGCGAAGCTTATGATGAATCGGAAGAGGATACATCTGATTCCGATCAAATTACAACAGAAATAATTCAGGAGGAATTAGAGAAGCTGAAAAATATCCAAGCGAGCAGAATTACAAGTAGTACATCGAATATCACTTCTGATGCGGCTCAAGATAAAATTTTTGACACAAATACTACGAAGAATGAGGAATCTCATCCTACTGCAAATTTTATTCAAGACACATTAACGGAGAGTTGTTCGCCTGAAAAAGGAACTGAGGAAGTGTCTAAAGACACAAGTACAAAGGAAAGAAGGAGGATATCGTTCGCTGAACCATGTGTTATAGAAGACGAAGGCAATGCAGAAGAAGAAATATCAATACCTCAGGAAGCTTGTTCTGTTCTAAAGCAAGAAGATACATATGAAATCTCTGAAGATGAAGGTGACACCGTTAGGATCGAATTTTCACATTCATCCCATATTCCAGATTTGATTGAATCAAATGATACGGAGATACAAAGCCCGATAGATATTTATAAAATGTTTAGTACTCCTAAGTCTATTTTGAAAAGATCTCCAAATGATATGATTTACGATCGAGTTGCTCCTTTAAACGAGTATAGTAGTACAGATACAGAAGATGAGGACGAATACGTTAATTCTGCATATAGTTCTGTGAGTAAAAATAATAATTTAATAATGTTGTTTTTACATAGATAATTGTACGTACACTAATAGACATATTTTGCAGGTAATCCAAGAGAAAGTTCAAGAAAGTAAAATATCGCCAGTAAATGACGTTTCGGTAAAGAAAGATGAAAAAAGAATTGTAAGTAGGTTCAAACTTGAACGAGCCGGAAGAAAGAAGTGACTTGTAAATATATGTTGAATACATATTGAAATTAAAATTTATTTTCGCAATACATACCCGAATAAATATAAATTTTCCAAGATCATACTTATCTATAATCCACTTCATTTCAGAAGTTTCTTTTATTATCGAATCTACAAAAATTGCGGTCTATCCTACGCGACAAGTCGATGCTTCGAGTATATCTTGGAGTAATGCGCGAGCTCATAAACTTCAATAATAATTAAGAAAAATGTAGAATAATATACATAATATTTACAATAAATTTATTTTTGCGATTTCCATACAATAAGTGATCCATTTAACTTTTCGATAGGATGGAGGCAGGACACGGTAATAAATGAAAATAGACATAATTACTGTCTAATGTAACATTAATTCTATGTTGAAAACAATCCACTATCTCACACGTCCTTAAGAATATTATATAGGTGCTTTCTCGACCAGCTTGAACCAGTGGCCGCATTCGCAACGGCGTGGAGGACCTTGATGCAGCCACATCCAGTTCACGTGTAATGAATCCTCGTCGCAGATGCATCCCATTATGCGACTTTCGAACGCGCTATAGACTATATTGGGATCTTCCTTTGTGCTGATTGCTCGCCGCTTTATGGTCATATTGTATGGATCCTAAAAAAAAAACATTACCATGTTTGGAAAAAAAGTTAACATGTATTACAAGTCTTCGTTTGATTATTAATATTCGTCGCAGCAAAATTGAGAAATACTAAGGTAATAAAATATATACACAAGTCTATAAAAACATTATCACGAGAGAACTATGTTCTCATTATAATGTTGATTTCTTATCTTTGATACTCGAAGCCTTATCAGGAGCTTAATTTTTTCGAGAGTATCACATACAACATTTCATTCAGAAAATAGCATAATAATTATTATATCACTTATGTAACTATATTATATCACAAATAATAAATATATCATTACACGTCAAAGACATGGGAATATGTCCACATAGGCGTGTTAGCCGATCTGAAAACGTCACAACTTACATCGTTACCGGCTAAACGGGCGAGCATCTCCCTCTTCTCCAAGCCTGTGGCATGATCGAGCGGATCGGCGACTGTCAAAGAAAAAGAAAGAACACGTGAATTGACTAGAATTTTATCTTCTCTCTATCGTGCGCAATACGTCCGCCGTGCGTGGACCGAGAGAGTCAAAATCGATGGGCGAACGAAAAACATTACGTAATGCGGATAAACGCGAAAATGCGAAAAATATGTGCGGGACGATTCGGCGGCGAATCGTCTCGGGAACGATATTTACATTCTTTCTTTTGGGCGCACGCGAGGCCATAGGAGATCCGCCGTCGACATGTTTGGAGCACGGTACGAGCGCATAACCATGCCATTTTTCAGAAAGCAGAAGATAGCGCACTACTAGCCGTCTCGGCCCGACTGGGTTAAGTCGTTCTCCCTTTATTCACGGATCGAACGATGCGCAGATTGCCGTCCCGCCGAACGAGCGACGTGCGCGGTGCGAGGCGCTACAGTATATGCAAGAACGAAAAACGCGGCTGACAGCTGACAAGAGTTTCTAGGTATTTTCGACTCTTTATGGATTGGCTCATATTCTGTAATTGGTTGAATTAATCAAATATATTCTCAAGTCTTCTCAAACAGAGGAGATCCAATTCTAAAATGATTTGTATGTAGAAACATATTTGATGGAGATGGAAGGTATTTAAAAAAGAATTTTTTTTATAAAAATATATTTGTATATATATAAAATTTTATTTCGTATAAAATATCTTTATTTTTATATATCAATTATCAATATCAATATGACTTTATCGTAGAAATTTTTTTACTTAATTTCTCTTTCATGTTATAAAAATTGAAATTAGCGCGAAAAATTTGTCCCTCAAAATTTCAGCACTTGAAGTGAAAAGTATACATATAATAGATGAAAAAAGTGAAAAGATGAGAAACATGTAAAAAAAATAACAAGCCTAATATGATTCGATAAAATCGGATAACTCCACGAATGAATTGAAATAAGTGCGCGAACTTAAATGACAAACTTCAGGGTGAAAACGACCCCGACTCCGTAACTGAATTGGAGTTTGAACGGTAAACTTCAGAGTGAAGATTACCTTGACTAAATTCCGATTAACTAAATTGCAGCTTAATCGGGGTCGTCCTCTCAGTTTGATTCAACCAGCAGGTTTCCAGGTGTCCAATAACAAGAAATTCATATTTCTACATTGGTAAAATACCACAAATACGGCTCGATAAGGTTAATCATTCGATTTCAGTTGATTAACTTAATCGGAATTTAGTCAAGAGAATCTTACGTCGATCGCAACGCCGCGCCGTGCAGCGGCAAAAGCGCCAAAGCCAATTCAGTAACTATAGGTGGCGGCCGAGCGCCATCTAGGGTTGCCTCGCGCAACTAATCGTCATGGGTAGCGACTGTTGCGCGTCCCTAGCGGCCCCGAACCGAACCCTTCAAGTCGTGTATAAGTTTATAATCTATAAACACAGTCGCTACCCACCACGACGAATAGCTCCTCAATTTCGAGTAACTAAAAAAGAGTCTGAAATAGAGCTTGTTTGTCACATGTAGATGACAAAAATATATTCCAGTCTACCTATATTTCAAATTAAGATAGCTTCTCGCATACATGTGCATGCAGTGAATACTTTCGACAAGTCATATTACATTATAAATCCATATATTTTTGACTAATAAAATACATGTAATAAAAATCAACATCTCTTACATCCTTTGTAGTAAAAATATTAATTATAAGAGTACAATTCTTGTCGATTTAGTTTATTTTTTTTAAGAACGAATTGATGTTATAAAATGGTACAGAAACGATCAATAGTTGAACGTTTTTGCTAGGAAAATTTGATTCCAAATTCCAAGTCTCGGTATTATTAAAATTTGCACACTATTAAAATTACAGTCGAGCGCGCGTGAGTTGCGGGATTTTTTATACATTACGATGCGGACGCATAAATACAACCGCGGTATTAAATATTACAAATAATTTGATATAAAAAATATCCGCATAGAATATTTAAGGCATTTGTGATACTCCGGTATACGCAGTGTTATGTATCAGGCTGTGCGGGCGGTTCTCGACCTCTTGGCGAAGAAATCGAATATATGTCCAGCCTACGTCTATTAAAAAAAAAAATCTCCTTTCCATTTTTCACATTGTACTATTAGCATTATACTGTTAGCAGTACAAACCACTGCCCTGATTCTCGCTAATGTACTTCGTTATGTATTGCGCCGATTTTTCAGTCAGTCCTAAGTTCGGTAACTCTCTCTCAAATTGATCGATGGTGCCTGCACCTGCGATGTAGCCGTTCAATTTCGCTGCCAGCGGAGAGGTGCACAAGATCTCCGTGGTAAGGCCCGATGTTTCGATCAGCCACGGATGATTCTGCAGTCGATACTTCTGGTGGTAACTGGACAGATACATAACTTTATTTAATTAAATTGGACGTGCATTATCTTATATTATCAACATTATCTTAATATTTTACTAGATAAGATAAGGCTTTATTTAACTTGAGCTCAGAAAGCCAAGAAGTGGACTTGATTTACACATATACCTCAACACTCTTAATATTTTACTATTCTTTTAACTTTTCTATCGTGATTAATATTAATTTATTACTATTCGTCAAGCTGTTCAACAAACATGTACGTACAATTGAATTTATCAGTGTCTATTTGTACAGTGCAAATGTGATAAAAATATTTTAAAAGTGCCGTTACATTAGAAATATTTAAAATCATGACATTAGAATTATTTTCGATTTAGTAAACTGTCTGTTATATAATTTAGCATTACAATCATATCATATTACGTAATAATTATGTACATTTATATTTTGAGTTTTTTGTCAGCTGATACAAATGTTATATTAGACTGTTTCGAGTAGTAAGTACAAAGAATTAAATTCTGCTGAATAAGAGTCACACAAAAATGAACGCAAATAAAATGACAATGTGACTTACTCTTCGGCTGGATGAAACTTCGCAAACTTCTTAATTTCTGTGACGAAGACTTCCCCGCGCTTTCGTTGCTCCTGTTCACGAGATTTTTCAGCTAGCAACCTTTGCTCTTCGTCATGATATAAGATCAGTGACATGTACTGCAAATTAAATTAACATTTAACACTCAGTTGGCACACAAATGAATCATGTGAATCGTGTTAATTAGTTATTAGGTACATCCTGTACAGATCATACCTTCGATAACTCTCAAGTCACTCTATATTTTTTACTGAAAATGATATATGGTCAGACAGAATTAACATGCATCAACAACATACCTGTCTCTTAATCTTCCTCGTTAGACTATACTCGTGATTGCTCCAAAACAAGCTCAACAGATGGGTGTAAGACACTAGTTCTGGATCATATTCGATACTGACGACCTCCGTATGGTCCCCTCTACAAACAGGAGTAAAGAACGCGTCAGGAATGATCTCGCAAAGCAAGGTATGCGATTGCTGGGTGATGGCAAGACGGGAACATTTACATGTTTTTGTAAGCTGGAGATTCCTTGGTGCCACCGGCGTAGCCGACACAGGTTCTGATAACGCCAGGCAGCGCTCCGAAGAGAGAATCCCCCGCCCAGAAGCAGCCCATGCCGAAGGTGGCACGCTTGCCCTTGGTCTCCTCCAGTTGGCCCGGCATTCTGCTGAACGGGCAAACATTGTTACGTTTGACAATCGGACATGTGAAGTACGCGCCGCACTGGTACGACGAAATGGAGCAATTGTCCGCGAGAATGGCCCGAACCAGGCACGGTAGCATAACGGTAATCACGCGGCATGATCGCGACATCCTCGACGATTCGGTTTCCGCTCGACACGCCGCCCACTTTCATGGACTTTCATGGACTCGCCGCCGCGTTCTGTGATACTTCCACGAGTTCCACGGTGGCATGCGTTAAACCGGTATCGCGGACGAGCGGTATCGGCCTGATTGTGGGACGGAGACGAGATCGGGCGAGAGGTGGTGGACGACGGTGGACGTGCGGGGCGAGTGGGGGCGAGTGGCGACTGTGGCGAGCGCGAAGGAGGGGGACGCGCACGTGCTGATTGTCTACGCTTGCCCGAGAGCGTCAGGGAGATAGCGCGTCATCGTGTGGGGTGCACGTGCGAAGAGGAAGGTCAGCGAAGGCCAATTCCGATCGACCAATTAATTGATTGATTCGCCCGGAGCCTGGAGTATCGAGAGCGAATGACGAGATTGACCAGCGTCTCGCCAACATGGATCGTCGTAAACACTCCGGAACTCGTGACCTGGATGTTTGATACACTTAGCCATGACGAATTTTTCTTCGATAATACCGCTCTAAATATTTATTTTTAAGGTGAGCGTTTGAACCCAGTCCTTGACATTAATTCTAATTCTAATCAGTCGTCAAGCATAAAATTCGCTTTAAAAATTCTTGATTCTTTTGATTGTAAAATAGTATTAGGAAGACCTTGTAATGAACTAAATTATTTTGTCCAATTTTCTCGCGTTGTTATACGACGTGACGCTCAAGCAAGAAATTAAAGGGCCACTATTTTCCAACGCTCCGGTAACTTCTAACTGACCGTAAACTTTTCAGAATAGCCAATAGGAGTTGGCTATTTCGATATAGTTAACGGTCGGTTAAAAGTTAATAGACGTTGGAAATAGTGGTCCTAAACCGATGTGAATTTAGAAAATAAATTTAGAATCAAGAGACACGGCAATGTCTCGCGCCAAGTACGAGCGAAGCGAGACCGCACGTGACTCTTACGCGACGCGATATGGAATATACGTAGAATGCGATGCTATTTTTCATTTAAGCTCTCATCTCATTGTAGACACATGCCAAGTAACATATAGTAACAGGTATTATTAGTTGTTTAATCTATGAGCGTATACTTAAGGATCTTCTTTTGGTTTTAGGTATTCTCCCGAGATTCTATCCAGTTGATAAAACGATCGAGATCACACCTAGGACGATCAAAGTATAAGATCGAGATATTGCCTCTAATAATGGACTTATTTGATTTTGAATTTTTCATGGAGCTTAATTGACGGAGTCCAGCACCAGAGAATTACTTCGAAATCACAAGATTCTCTAAAATTTTTTAAAATGACTCGGAATTTCTTGCCACAAAATTTCACACAAATCAAGAATATTCAGGAATAGAGCAGAATGTTATCCTTAGGATTTCGTTCTTTTTACCTTAAATGGCGAACGCACGTGGACGGTTTACTCGAGCGATGATCTATCGGACTGTTGCCTGATAGTCCTGATACACGACGAGATGCTTCTTTCTCAGAGGAATAGCCAATTCCTCGTGGAACTGAGTAGAACTGACTGTGGAGTGTGGCATCCTACGGACGGCATTCGGTTTTTATGGGCGTCGAGCATGTGTCTCTCCCCACCACATATCGTCTCCTTCTCATTCTCCCACTTCATAGACGTTAATACCGTGCGATTCGCTCGTCTCAATAGACCTGAATAAACTCGTGCTCCTCTTATTGTATGTCGGAACAAAGGAATGAAAAAAAGGAAATATTTTTAAATAACATCAAAAGCTTGTTAACCTCGGAATGACCATGACCAAGTTAATTACCATAATGTCCATTAACCATGGGCCGATATAAAAAAAATATATATATTACAACATGTTACGTTACATATACATATGTATAAAGAGTATCGAAAATTTAATAACTTTTTTAAGTATGATATTGTTTATCATTCTGGAGTTCGATTTATTTAATTTTATTAGTACGTTAAGAAGTATATTTCATAATTGTAAAATATAACTTTAAAAAGAAGACGGTACCTGTATTCTGATATTTACTATCAGCAACTGTCAGTACTGAAAATCTATAGTTTACGCGACGTATAGAAAAATATAGATTTTCAGAGTTGACAGCGAATATTGGAATATAGCCGGTATCTCGGAATGTTTATTAGTAATACAAAATATCTTCGTGTTACAGATAAGTTTTTATGTAAAAGAAGATAAGCAGCGTGTTGCATGGATATCTAATATTACTTGAGGATATGTAGAAATAATAAGTAAAACATTCGAACTTCATTATAATATTCTGACAAAACTTTCGTTTAATTTATTATCATTGTAAGCTCCATAATTTTTTTTCATCAGCGAAATTTATTCTCTAATAACTAACATCTTATTTATGGAATCAAAATTTTATTGTGATAAAATAGTGAAATTCCTTTAATGGATCTATGACTACGGAAGTACGTCCTTCCTTGAAAAAAGAACTTTTAGCCTTGTATAGACTTGTCTGATGATGTAACATGTCATGTTTCAGGCGGACCGATTACCCATTGACGCCAATGACCCCGTAGCTATTGGATATCTTCGAGATCGAGGACGTTAGATTGTAATTTCTTACAGGTGTACTTGTACTTGGTCCTAAGAAATATTCCGTGTTCTCTTTTGATCTTTCGCACGTTATTATTTAACAAGATAAAATTATAAAATTGTACAAAATAATAGCAACAAGATAAAAGTGATTAATAAAAGTAACATAATAAAACAAATTAACTCAATATATAACAAACATATATTTTTAGATAATTTAAAAGTTTGAATATGTATCACGCGAGATTTGCTTTATTATCAAATTTAATCTGCTGAGTATTAAAAATAAAGTAAAACTGAATGCGCGCGATTTGCTTTATTATCAAATTTAATCTGCTGAGTATTAAGAAAAAAAGTAGAATTGAATGAACAATATCTTATTTAAAATATTTGGCTTGACGTTAAATATTTCTGATGATGTATGAAGTACGAATGCATGACGCCTTGACATACACCGTATATTTAATTGAGTGCGATTATTTGAAAATATATCATCGAGGATAAATTTGGATACGTAAGATTATTCGATATCAAATAGCGAAGATTTAGAGAAACAAAACATTTAGTACTTATATATGTTAAATATAAACAGTAATATAGGAAATTTTGATAAAACGCATCTTCAATTAAAAAACTTGCATCGTAATGAAAATGATTGGGCGATATCAAAAGATAACGAAATTATCTCGAAATACTTTGAGATTAAACTCGTCTTCCACCGAGCGGTCTGCTCTTGAGAGAGGTAAATTTACTACAACTGCGAAATACCGAGAAATAAATTTTAAGGTATGAAAGATACAAATAGTATCGAGTAACACTCGTGTATTTAACATCACGTTCTTATTTATTGTCAATTTATTGTGGCTCTAATGAGGCTCAATAAAGCGCGGAGGTTGCATCAGAAGAGACGGAGCGCGCGCGATGCACAGTTGATTAAATCAGTTCTCAATTGGAAGTCGACTGATGTAATCTTCCTCCTGTAGCCGCTAAGCCACATCTCGTAGATGTACATATCACCATGACTGTCATTATATGGCTATTATCAGTCACTATTCAGTTCCTGACCCGTTATGTATCTTGACACAAACACAAGTGGAAGCTGTACTGATAAGCGCGTTAAAAATGACCCACAGAAACATCGTGACTGAAATAGGTGAAATCCGCGCTTCAAAGAACGATTACATGCTATAAGGTAATAGTACATATAAATTTTCAACTCATGTTCATATCTCTGATATAAATATAAGCTGCTAAATAGAAAGATTTCAGTCAAATTTACGTATGATCGTGATAAATAAATATTAAATAACAAAACTCGCAAATTGTTCATCAACTCTCAGTTCATCAACCGAACAACTCGTTGCCTCTTGTTCGGATTTCTTCGCGATTCTTAAATCATATTGTAATGCACTGAGAAATGAGTCAATATTTATAAGATAACAATTTCTTATTGAAAGTGTTGGAGTTTGTATCGAGAGCGTATGAAAAGTTGATAAACTTCCTTTTTGCGGGTTGCATAATATAAGATGTATAAGATATATACAAGATATACGAAGATAACATATACAGTAATTTTATTTTTATATAATGTTACTATATTACAATACAATAATATAAACAGGTGGTAGACGTCACATAAATTCATTTCAAATACAGCCATTGAAATCAACTTTCGCCATAGACATTCGCAATCAAATCATGCGTCCACTATCGCACGTGTGCTACGTACTTTTAATTGGAATAATCGCGGCGATTATCATTAGTTTCACGATTAACGCAATTGCAAGACGCGGAACGAGTCACGCGACTGCTATCGTGAAGGCCGGAAGCCGCGTAAAGTTTGGCAACGTTTATTATGCATCGTGGAGGAATGTATGAGCGTTTATTTGTACTATTTACTTCCTTCGAAGATCCCTCTTTGTATTTTTAATTTGGATGCGATTTGACGTAAACGTGTACAAAAAATACGACCGTTCGGCAGGACAAATGATTATTTTACACACGGTCCTGTATATACGCGTGATCACGAATAAAGTTTGCTACCATTTTGATTCGCTGGTATTCTCCCTCGTTACACGGGGATGCGTAAAATTTACTCGAAAAAAGAAGTAAAGTTTACATATTTATATCTCGAATATCTCCGGCACGAATTGTCGAATTAAACTCGAATGTCACGCGTTTGTCAAAGGCGCAACACAGGTGCAAAATTGTAAATCAGCGATGTATATAGCGACTTGCTATATGCGGAACAAGGAATTCAAGTGAAAAGTCTTTAGTTGTAATAGATAGATAAATACTACATATCAAAATTTACAAATAATCTTTAAATCGATATAAAAAACAGTTTCCACTCAATCCTTACAGCTAGTCTCATAAAAAATATTGGAAGATGTCTGATAGTCTTATACCTGTTTGCGGGGATACTAGAAAAACTCGAATCTAGGTAGTACCTACGAATGTTGTAACACACATCTCTTGTCTTTCTAGTAGTCTATACATTTCCTTTAATATAACAATAAATAAAGTAAAAGTCTGTACAATACTTGAACGCTTTAGGCGCTGGATAGTTGTAAAACAAAAATGCAATTATATAATTTCTACAAATAAGTACATGCTCTGAGTAGTCATCGTAACAAGGTGTTGTTGATACCGAGCTTGTTCAAACGCTGCGATTCGCGTGAGAATCGCAGGAAAAACGTTTCGTCACATGATTTAAGTACATATATGCCGTTCGTGCGACATCAAAACCGATAACTGTTTTGATTTTAAAGCTGTCGATACGCGCCCCCGCGGTTATTATCTGTGATGTACATAATGTCGCTCTATATGTGCTAAGAAAATATATGTATATATGTATATATATATCTAATAAAAAATATCACGACCCTCGGGCTCGGATTAAACGCGCGACTTGAAAAATTGCGGAAGTACAAGAACGCAGCGTTGAGTCTTGAAAAAAATACTGGAAGATATAATTGCGGGAATATATTCTCGTTTGTGTGCGCGAAAGATTCCGGTGAGCTCCGACGACATCGTAGATAACAGTGGGCAAGGACAAGGAAAACGAGATTGTGTAATTAGCGCGTTTACATGACGGTGCAGCAGCTCTTCTCCGAGTGATTATCGCTCACGATCTCACTGGTGTTCCCAGTGAAGCGCTGGGTGAAATCGTCGGTGCTGAGATCGGAATTGGAGATGGACGAGACCGGCATCGGGATGCCGTTCCCGTTCGCGTCTAAGGAGCCGCCGGATATGTGCCGATTCTGCGCCCGTTTCTTCTTCAGATCCGACAGGGATTTCACGAAAACAACGGACACGTGTATGTTGATCTTGCCGTTGGTGTCAGCGTCCGTAGAGTAAATCGGCGACTGCGGCTGGCTGCCGACCAGTGGGTCAGGCCCTGTCACTGCTGTTCAGGCAAACACGTAAATCCAATGTGCTACTTCCCCCCCGTCAAGCGTGCCGACTTTTCGATCGACGCGATCGCCACTTTTCCGCCCCTCCACCTCAACCCCATTTTCTATCCCTATGCGCACTGATCACAATTTAAAAAAAAAAAAAGAGAAAAAACCAAGGATGTCAACTATGAGTCTCATGCGCCAAGCCTGACATGCTTTCAGCAACAAGCGTTTCGAAAACATTGCACCAATAAGGACCATCATATGCACATCGGTGTGTACGTACACTGTATTGTTACTAAATGGTTCAACGGTTGCGTTTTACGCAAGCAAAATCAATGGATACACAAGAGAGAAAGAGAGATAGAGATAGAAAGATAGAAAGATACAGAAAGAATATGATAATTACGGCTGTTACGTTACAAAGAACAAGAGCGTTGTTTATATAATGACTATGGATATATCTATACGTCTTCACATTTTGCTACAATGGAATTTTTTTAACGTTTGGATCTACGAACGATCGATCTACCTGTATTTGCGCGTTATCATTATCGATCGTAATCTAAGTACTATCGAATGAAATACGGTGTGATAATTTTATCTAGAACACGGTTGTCGTCTAGAAAACGCAAGCATAAAGATCCGTTGGTAATTCGCCCATCAATGGCTCGTCCTCACTATATCTGATATGTCTTTCTTTTTACTTCTCGAATTGACTACTTCAATAACAGAGGAGTGCGACCCCTTATTACTTCACCACATAATACAATGAGTACAAAGCATTCGCCGATTAGAGAATTCGCTATCAATCTTTAATACAAAGTGTATAGAACTTGACAACAGGTATACATAAAAATTTGTAGAGCTGCGATCAACCTTAGGTCATGCTTTAGGCTCAAAACCCGCCCGTTATACTACGGACGTATTATATTTATCCAGTAAAATATTTACCAAATAGTCATCTAAGTATATAGGGCGATTCTTAATTTTACATATTAAGATCTTTTTCTTGTTTTGAACTCTCGATCCACTTCCTGTGATATAATTAAGAATCGTCCTGTATGCTTTTATTCTAGAGGAAACTTGCGCATAGTACAATATGTATAAAGAATGTAGAATAATATATCTGTCGATTCTACTTATTGTACATCCTACTAGCATGATATATATATATGGTTCTCTAAATCGATTAGGCTCCAGTTTATGTAAGAAATTACAGAAACAATTCGACATATCTATAATAAATACCACATTCGTTTGATTATTATTCTATTTTGCGCTCAGTGGCCGCTAAGCTTAGCTAAAACGGTCCACAAAGATACGCTAAGGAAGCCAGTACCACTTTTAGGCCTTGCCAAAGAGATTCGATATGAATATAAAGCGAAATGTGTACGTGTATATGTGTGCGTTTTAACGTGAGAACACTTCCAGAGAGAAAAATGCATTGTGTTATGCGCAGCACATGTAGATATACGTTTTACGTACACCATGAGCAAATAACTTCTGGCGCAGTGTGATATGTATGATACGAAAAAGATAACGCAATTAAATGCATCGTACAGATCGTGAAATGTAATAATTAAAGAAATAGAAAAGTGACGTAGAAAACTAACCTCGCAATTATTCAGGAGCACGCAGTAGTGAAAAAAAAGAAAAAGCTGGTAAATAATCGACAGCTAACACAATGAGTTTGACAGAGTACATTTATGGGATTTTGCAATTAGCAGATTAGTATGTATATAATATACATATATATATTTCGGATTGTTTGATCCTTTAGGATTATTCAATATTGTTCTCTAATAGTGTGTATATAAAATTTTGTTTATTAATATATAAAAATATAAATATGCGCTTTTGTCAAACTTAACAAGAAATTGTCCGCACTCTCAGTATGATTAATCATTCTATAATAATCGTTATTTTCTCTTCTTTCGCCACAATTTTCTATAATTTTTAATGTGTATATGACTTATATACATATATAAAACTTCATATACAATCTTGAAAAATTTTATGCTCGCGTTAACTTTCCTACGTTTTGGGCATTATGAATCACAAATGAGCATGATATACACGTATATACGTACATGTATACATGTGCAATTCTTGAATCACATGATCGAGGTACATATTTTTGGAAGTCTCTTCGCACAAAGCTACCATTTACCACAATAGTCTACTAAACCACAACCAATGCAAGCAAGAATACATTTGGAATGTACCTGAATCTTTATCAACATCTTCGTGAAGAAAAGACTCGTTGTCTTTTCCTTCGGGACCTTTCCGCACCGCTGAAGTCAGCGCGCCGGAATCAGTCTCGTGGTCCCCTACCTCCTGCGTATTGTTCTCCAATGGCGGAATACTAGGCGTAGGAGCGCTAACATACGTCTGAAAAAGAAATATCCCACATAGTATTTATATCTCGAAGAAAGAGCAAGGGAAATATATAAGATATTTTTAATCTCCCCTTATTTTTTTTATCGTACCTGTTGCGCTTGTAACCTTAAGCGAGTTTCTTCCTGCGCGTCTTTTTTCGTAGTAAGAACTTTGTCTCGAATGGATGTTCGACGTACGCTTTGTGTTCGCGTATTTATGCTTTGCGATCTGCGTACCCTACGCCCTTGCGCTTCACGAAGTCGTTTACTCTCTTGTTCTGTTTTCAATTCCACTATCCTCTCCCTAATTTCCGGATCTTCGCATATATCTGCAACATATTAAAATATTAAAATATAGGGTAACAAGGCAATAATCGAAATAGATCGGCAAGTCTTACCCGCGGGAGTTTCATCGTGTTTATTTCTGGCATTTAGGTCGGCTCCGTTTTGCACCAATAATTCAAGTACTTCCAACTGTAATACAAAGATGTGTATAAGACTTAAAATAACATTTAAAATATTAAAAAATTGTTGCTATTAATTGCTATCTAAAAGAGGTGGAAAAACAGATTTACTTTCAGTTTTAATAAACATTATAACAATTCTATAATTTGTAATTGTGTATACCCACGTATATAAAAAAAAGATTTAAACTTACGTGTCCCCAACATGCAGCTGCATGAACTGGTTGCCATTTGTCATTGTCCTCTACATCCGTTGATACATGTTGGTCAAGAAGAAATTCCACGACTCGTAAGTACCCATTTGCCGCTGCTATATGAAGCTATAATGAAAATTGTAACGAAAATATATAATTTTTTCTTTTTCTCAAATTAACAGATTTTAACAAGGGTGTATACGTACAGGCGTAGCACCTTGATGATCTTTATATTCAAGGTCACCTCCTAAAGAAGCAATCTTTTGCAAATCACGTAACATTTGAACCTCGGTTGAAGCTCTTGTTTCATCTATTAATTCTTGAGTAACTCCTCGTCTTGCCATCTCTCCTGTGTTATAAAAATGTAATTTTTAACGTAAATACGTGACATTACTAGTCGCACTGTATGTCTAAAAGTGGCAATCTTTAAATGTTGACAAAAAATTCTATTACCTTCGATACAATCCAACGTTTTTTCATCTTCGCAAATGTCGTACGGCATGTTGCCATCAGCATTAACGGCTAATAAATTCGCACCTCTGGCAATAAGGTATTTGACTAAATGCAAGTGACCACACGTGGCAGCAGCGTGTAACGGTGTCCATTTCTCACTGTCTTCCGCATTCACGTTAGCACCAAATTCAATGAGTAGCTTCATCATCTCTTCATTGTCATCTATGCAACACTGATGCAGCGCCGTCAAACCGTCTTCGTTCGTCGAGTCGGGATTTACACCCTTTTTCAAAAGCCTTCTTACTGGAAAGAGAATAAATGTTGGTGACGTAACGCGCCGATATACAGATGTATTTGTTTCAAATAATATACGTACATACAAAATTTCTTACCTTCATCGATGTCATTTCTCGCAGCGGCTTCCAACAACATAACACTGTCGCTAAAGTATATGTGACGCTTATTACTCGTATGCCTAGTTTGGTGCCGCAGCCATTCCTTCTCGCGTTGCCTCCACACTTTTAATTGTTGAAGTCTACGATGACGCGCCAGGTGTAACCGCTCTTGCGTGGTCAGTCTTTCAACGTGTACCATCTCTGCCACTAACTCTGAGTGTTCCATTGTTACGTGCTTATAGTTTTTGCAAGTATATTTACCTGTTAACAAAAAAGAGGGAAGAAAACATCACGACATGTAGATATAATTTAAACAGACACATACACGCACACATACACACACACACACATACATAACGCATTTTTGTGCAACTGTATCAAGAAAACAAAGTAACTCGTTCCAGAATAAACGTGTCGTAAACGCTCGTGGGTCACGTTCGATTTTGTTAATAATACCACACATTTATCTTGTTTTCACTAAATGTATTTCAGAAGACAATCACAAAACCGAAGAAATTAAAAAAAAATTAAAAAAAAAAAGTAAATTCAGGCGGCTTTACCTTTACGCTTACAAAGCCAAGATCTCATTCTCAGATAATTAAAAATTGTTTGATAAATACCAGATGTCATTCTGGCGTAAGTAATCGGGATTTTCACTTATTTCAATAACGCACACGCAACTTAACTGATCTCTCCTGCGTTATACCTGGCGGGAATGATAGCATATTTTAACCAGATGTTCTCTCAAACTTATCAAGTACTTAGACAAGTAAACATACAATATTTACACAAATGTTCGTACCCGCTGACAAAAAAAGGGCTTTTTTGTGAACGATGATTCAACACGTTCCAACGGATGTTCTTTCAAAATTGTGTGTTTCTAAAAATACTACACAAAAACAAAGATTAGTGCAGCTATCTTGAGAATTTTTAGAGATTTATCTCGCGGATAAAACCACAATGTAATCAATGAATATATATTTATATATTTTTAATTAGATATGACGATAATGAATGATGATAATGAAAATCTTTGTTAGGCATGTAGAGTATATAGACTATACGTGGCTGTGTAACACATCCGCAATAAATTCTATCCTTAATCTCAGGTAATACCTACGTTACGTCATTGGATCAAGAATGTACATATTTAAACATTCCACAATCTCGGTACACGAAGCAAGCTTTACATTTACAGAGAGAATTTAAAAAACGGGAGCCGAGCACACAGGTCTCGATAAACACGCCTTTTTCCTCCTTAAAAGAAAGTATAAATCCGCTAACGAAATAACGGGAAGAAATTGATTTTTTTTTTTAGAAAACAGTTAAAACAGGAGCACTACAGTTTGCAATGCGAACTCCGATTCGAATCGGTCGCACGATTTCTCGACAACCTGGTGACACGAGAGCTGCGCCTGAGAGACGCATAGGTCGCATAGGAGATACTTGCTGATCGTTCATCGAGCCTGACGTCCGGTTGCACGTTACTCGGCGCACAATCACCGTGGAAAGGTGCACGGCAGAGTAATATTCCGTCTCGCGGGGATTCATCGCACCCTCCTCCTCCTCCGTGCGGGGCGATCGGAGACGCGGCGCGTGATCCAGCGGGGAAACACGTCGTCGAGAGTCGAAATGGAGTTTACTTCCTGCCAATTACATCGCTTTTCGGAGGGTAACCGAAGCCGTCGGCCGTCGGCCGTCGCGCGATCAAGGCCAGGACGCGAGGCGCGTATCGCGCAGGATCTCACGGGAACCGGGAACGTGAGAAAGCCGCGGGGGAGGGGGTGGGATACTCTCGCACACAGGGACGGATCAGCGCGATTGAGCGATGCGCCGAAAATCGGGGGAAAAATCCTCTCTCTCTTTTTTATCTTGTTTTTACTTACGTATGCAAACGCATGCAAACGCGCGGCTCGACACGCGGCCGCGGCTGCGGAGGTGACGATGGCGGTGGTGGTCCCGCTTTCCTTCTCCCCCTATTTCCTTCGCGATCGCGCGAGCGGAATGCAACGAGGGACGAGAGGCGCTCGAACGCACAGGCGGCGGGGCCGGGACCGGGGCGATTCATTCACGTCGCGCTTCGCGCCTGTCGCGGCGATAACCTACGACGATTACGGCATAATCCGCGAGTGAGCGAACGAGCGAGCGCGATCCCGCCGGATCCCTCGGCCTCGGCGCGCTGCGGCCTGCGGCGTGCGCGCGCGCGCGCGTCCCGCAAGACAGATACTGGTCTGGCCGGTGGCGTGAAATACGCTCGCGCGCGTTCCCGTGCCTGCCAGCGCGTGCAGCCGCGGAAACACGTCTACCTGTCAGTCGCCATTTTTAAACTACCTGCGAGACTTGCGACTTGCAAGAGTCCGAGAAATCGCGCCCGCGCCTGCGCACGCCTCGCCTCACCTCGTCCGTCCTCGGCTAGTCTCGCCTGGCCTCGCCGGCGCGCCGCCGCGCCGTCCCACCGCCCCCACCCTTCGAGCGACGGACTCCGAACTCCGGAGTCCGGAGTCCGGAGTATCCGCGGACTCGCCGAGTCGCCGCTCGCCGCACTCGCCGCTCGAATCGCGAAACGAACGGGATAGAGGCGCGCGCACGCGAGCCGACGATCGGCTCGATACTTCCGCCTCGCCCGCGCCCGCGGAATAACGTAAATTGCGTAAAGCCCCTTGCACAATAGGCGATATAGCGAAAGCGATAGCGACAGCGACAAAGTTGCCGACAAAGGATAGCTTTGTCGGCAACCTTGTCGTTGTCGCTATCGCTATCGCTATCGCCTATTGTGCAAGGGGCTTTAACTGTTTTGCGTTATGGCGTTATGCGCCAGCCGGTCGATAAGCGAGGCCGGGGACTCCGGGGAGTTTCCTCGTCACTCGTCGCTCCTGCGTCCCGCGTCCCGCCACGCCGGTTCCGCGCGTCGTTCCGGTCGTTCGGAATTCTCACATTCTCATTTCTCGGTCTCGGTCCGGACGAGCTGATCGACGAAGCGTGAATCGACTGCCGCTCCGCTGGGTCATGTTCCAAAACTCACTCTAGGTAACTAAAATCTATAGTTTACGTCACGTACACTATAGCATTTTAGTTAACTATAGTGAGTTTTGGAACATGACCCTGGATCTTGAATTGGCTTACAATCAAATCCTTAGGCCACGCTCTTCAAGTCGTTTGTCACTCGATATGGTATACACGTTTGTCATACGATAATTAAACGTATATGACAAACGCTTTTTAATTACGTGGTATTATCACTGTCACGTGCGTATGACTTATCAGCGTTGCGAGAAACATATTGTCATCATGGAGTGCGATAACGTTCAACTTTTCTTTCCTCGCAAATGCGCTCCTACAAAACATATGTCAAAGAATTCAAATTAAACGTTCCATTCGTATCCTTTATCGCGATATTAACGTTAAGATTGTTTAAAGATTGTTTTCAAGATTCCAATTCAATATCGTCGAGGCGGAATAAGAACGGCACGTACGCGTTAGCCGCGTGATCGTTTCCTGATTAAAGTTCCGGGATGACGAGATTTATACATCCTCGAGATCGAAATCTCCCCTTCCGTTCGTTCCGTTTCCATAAATCACGATCGATTCGTGCGCGTCCGCGTCGTCATCGATACGCGAAGGCGCGTGCTCCTCGCAAGAGAAACGTATGCAAAAATTCTGCTCTTACAGAAACGTTGCAAGTTGATTGGTTAAAAGCTATGCGACAGCCAATCGACTTGCAACTTTTCTGTAAGAACAACATTTGCGCATACGCTTCTCTTGCGAATGATTTCAAGAATCAAGCCCCTTCTTGCCAGATGACTCATCCGCCGTCACACGCGGCTGTGCCGCCATAGTCAATAGTGCGATCGCGCTCGATATCGGCCTCCGCGTCGCATATCGAAGTATACCATACGTGTATACCATATATTGCGCAGCGACAAGCGACGAGGAAACTCCCCGGAGTCCCTCGATTTCGGATCCGGGAGATAACAGCGAATCTTATCGCTCGTGGTAAGACGCCGGTTCTCCGCGCGTCCTCCACTCTCGGCTTTCGGTAGCCTCGCCGGTATCGTGTCGGCGAGCGATCTTTTGAAGCGTCTCCCGCCGATCTCGACGTCGACATTTTTTTTAGGGGGAGGGGGGAAGAGGGGTTTCCTCCTCTTTGGTTAGGAGCATAGGCGCCTTCAACCCTGCCTTTGGGTTACATATAGCGCAATCGACATCGACGACGTCGCCGACACCCGGACTCCAGAGTCCGGACGTCCCCACGTCGTGCATTGTCTTAATTGTCTACCGATATGGAAGGACGCGGCTCACGCGGCGGTGGGGCGTATCTCGCGGTCTTCTCTGGAATTTTTGCGACCGCCGGTAGTCTTCTGGGCAAGCTTGCCGGTGGCGCTGACGCGTCGTCGTTGGTGAGTTGACGGGACCGATTCAAATCGCCGGTAAAAACATGAAATAAACCGCGGATTTTTTTATTTCTAAATTTAATTTCTAGAAGAAACAGAATTTAATTGATTTAGGAATTTCGGATATTTATAATATTCACAACGACGTCCTTATGGCAATGTAAATTGACACGCGGAAATGTGTTTCTGTAAAATTGTCTTGTTTTGTATTAACAATATTTGTATGTTATTATATGATGCATTCTGAAGCAGACAAATAACTGATAAATACGCAAGAGAGATTGATGATTGAAAATTGAAAAATTGAAACTAGATTAAAAACATTAGAAATTTAAAACTGTATAGTATAATAAATATAACGTACGCTATAACAATATAGAGCATTATAATGTTTACATGCTTTTTTTGTAGACATCGTTGCTTCTAAAAGGAGTACTTCTCGTCTCTATGATCGTGAGCAACACCATAGGATGCACGTTTTTTGTCAAAGCGCTTCATGGCAGCGGTTCTTCTTTGCCGATAACCGTCGCCAGTGCGGCTACGAACTATGTTTGTTCGGTGAGTTGTTAAATCTTATAATTAATATCTCGTAAATATTTTCATTAGATAACACGGGTTAAGGGGTAACGCCATTCTAGAGTCCCAAAAAAAAAGCCAATTTTTGATAATTTTTTTCATAAATACAATAATCATAAATGAAAATCGGTTTAATTCTATTTATTATCTATATATTAAAGTATAAAAAAAATTTTTATTAATTATTTATTGCCAAAATGGCGGCACCAGAGCCATTGCTCCAAAGTGCCTTTTTGTGGAAGGCGTCCAACGGGCGGAATCGAAGCTCCTATAATTTCTGAGCTGGAACAAAAATTCAAAGATTTTTGAAAAATATATAAGTTTTTCTATAGAAGTACGTAGGGGAATTGCGAAATATCATTTTTTGTAAGAATGGTGCATGTTGGAAAAAAAGTGCTTCATTTTTCGCTAAAAAATGTCGCACAAAATTGTTTATAAAAAAAGTTTTGTTCAACTTATCGCAAAATCCCTAGGTACTTCTAAAGATAATGTTATTGTAAAGTTTCACTCAAAATTTCAAGTCAATCGGATAAAAGGTGTTCGAGTTCTGATTCCGCCCGACTTTAAAAAAGCGATTTCGAGAAAAACGCGTTTAAAGTTTCAGTTTCACCATTCACAGATGTGAACGCGGCGGCAGATGACGGATTACGAAAAAGGGATAATAGAGATTTTTCCGAGCTTTGAAACCAAGTGTATCTTATTTCTAAGACCTTAAAGCATCGTTTAACAAAAAAAATCGATTTTTTGCAAAATTCTAGAGTGGCTTTACCCCTGAATATGAACTTTTCTCTCGCGATTGTATATATAATCCCAACGTTAGATTCTTCAACAGACTTGAACTTAATTGACTTAGCAAAAATCCCAAAGTACCAATAACTGTATTGAAATAATCGAAAAAAGAAGCTTTTCGGGAAGATGTCCAAATAATTAATACATTGTTCTTCGATTAAAGTTTCAAGAGAAGTCTACTTCAAAAGAATCTTGATTCTCAATTATGCAAATTAGAAAGTTATATGATATCCATGATGACTTTTTCGCCAAAGAGAGAAACGTTGACTTCGAATTTAAAAATTTGCTATTGAAAGATGAAAAGACTATAGTATATAAATTTTTATCCAGGAAATTCTATAAATAAATATAATAATATTTTTCAATTAAATTTCTACGTTAAATTTTAAGATAATTCTACGTCATCAGTATTTTAATTCATGATTTATAAAGACACGTAAAATTGAAAATTAGAAAGTTACGATATAAATGATGGCTTTTTCCCAAGAAAAAAAGTCGCCTTCAAATTGGAGAATCTATCACTGAAATTACGATCGCGACAGGACGACCGACCATCAATCGTGCTAATAGCAGAAGGAAATTAGATCGTTGTGAAACATCCGGCTGACAATGAGTGTTTCTTTTTGAGAAAGTTTTAACAATGATAATGAAATGAAATGGCGAAGGGAAATAATCCTGCAAAAGGGCATTTGTCAGCGGCAATTATTCGTCTATAGTCGCGGCGCGCGGTCCGATATACTTCCGAGAGTTGGTTCGCAAAGAGTGAAAGTTGTTTCGCAAACTAGACGCAATTCCGCGAGTGTACACAATGCGGTCATAGCAATTATATGCGCGCAGGTACGTGGCGATTGAACGAGAACTGTACGATATGATACCCACGCTATTGAAACGCAATCCCGATAGCGTTACATTATACGCTGGGAAATGCATTGCGCCGGAATTATTATTAGAATAACAGAAATAATTACGTTCGCCGTCCCGCAAATGGATTCTATTTTGTCTCTCCTTTCATTCCTTCTCCTATATGAAAAATATTCATCCCGTAACGTGAAATATTAATAAAGCTCTGTCTCATTAAATAGAAATAATCAGAAACGTACGAATATCTTTTTACACGTTACGACAGAATTTTTCTATAATCTTCCGTGAAAATCAATTTAATCCATTCGCGCGATAGCTACTAAAACGACACTGTATATCGATTACGTCGGCGTGAAATTAAACATTTACGAGATTAAGTTTGGGTTTGCGAGGATATAGGTGCTTTAAATTTAAGAACGTCACCGATTGGTAATCTTCGAGAAATAAAGATGCAATTTTATATTTTATATTCGTATCTATAATATGGTTTGTTCTATATGTATATTACCATATGTCAAGCACGTGGCTTGTCGATCACATTGATCTCTGATATTTTACCATTCTTTCATAATTTTAAGATACGAAAATAATACAAGACTTTATTTCCGCAGATATATCTAATTTAATGCAATAATATAGCAATAACAAAAGAAAGAATTTGGCCAAAAGATCTAATGAGAAACAGATAAATATTTTTTATGATATTTTACATCTATTATGTTTTTCATCCTTATTATGTTTTAATTTGTACAAAAAGAGATGAAATTGAAATGTATTAGTTTCGATAGTACATATTGGCTGCGTTTCTTTTGGGCGCTCACGCGCTCACACGCGCTGTAAGCATCATTCTATCTTCGTTGCACATCGAATATCAAACGAAGATAGAGCGATGCTTACAGCGCGTGAGCGCCCAAAAGGAACGCACCCATTATGTTTAATTATCGAGAAACACATGGCTTGATATATCAAAAGTTCCGATTATATTACTATAAAACAGCAATTTTATAAATATCTCTTGTCGTTGTTGAAGGCTTTCGTAGGATTCGTCGTGTTTGACGAATCCACTTCATTGACCTGGTGGTGCGGAACTTCCCTGGTACTGCTCGGCTTGATGTTGATCTGCAATGTTCCCACTGAAAAGAAGGCTTCCGCCGCCGAGGAAAAATTGAAACATCAATAGCTAACGACGGGCGCTTTTATATTACAAGCAAGAGCGATTATGGTGATGTTACAACGGTACGATTCCATTTTTGTATTGACAGATATTTATGTCCTTACGTCAGAAACGTATTGTGTTATCTGTAATAAGAATGAATTTTGATATACAAATAAAAGAGTATAGGATAGTATGGATAGTATAGTCTTAAGTGTTATAAATTACGTATAAAGCACAATTATATATTCTTTGTTATAAATAAAGTATTTTATGTTTTCTCTATAATAATGTTCTACGTAAATGATGGATATAATTTTGAAACGCGTTGATTGTCCGAACACGAAATGACGTATAACATGCACATATATACGATACCGTATTATAGATTGCTCACTGAACGCAGCAGTGTGAAATTTATTAATGCAGAAGGATAAAAATAACCTATTAGGTCTAAAGAGAAATGTTTCGCTTTAAGATTATTTCGTTCAAAAAGATTGATCAGTCTTGAAGAATCTCGACCGAGTTGCATGGAAAATCTTGAGAGTAAAAAGCAAAAGTAATGAATTGTTTTGTACAGTAGTATAAGAAACATGTAGTGTATTTTATGAGGTTTCTTAAAGTATCGCTTTTCGCGCGATTAATCCATATTTTTATCTTTCTGTAGATAGATTTTATGCCGGGTTTTAAAGTGGTTCTCTAAAAATTCAGGTCTCTCGGGGCCTCGAGTGGTGCCTGTTTTAGCACAGCGAAGTGGATTTTCATGTCTATAGTAGCGTTGGATATAAGCGGAATGACGATGACGAAGTGGATATCTCTCTCCCGTTTCTCCCTTAAAATACGCTAGCACGATGTCATCTTCCTCCCTTCCTGCCGTCAAGTGGGTAACGTGGTGGATTTAATATTGACGCATTAACGAGGCGAAATTAGCGCGATGAGCAAATTATACATCGTTATTATTACGTTACGCCCGTGGTGACGATCTTGGCGTCGATGTAACGCGTAATGAAGTCGGATGTATTTATGTCCCGGGACGTAAATATATCTACCATGCAAATGAATATGTGGCGTCTGATAGCGGACGTCGAACGAATCGATTCCGGTTGACGTTAATTCGCCTGCAGGTATCGAGATAGTTTGATATCAGAATGATATCAAACACGCACGTCAATTTCGATGCGAAATTGAGAGTCGTTGACTTTTTCATGTGCAACCCGACCCCGCGCTGTCGCGATTTTCAACACTCTCTTCGATATAACGAGTTAACGAGTTAATATCGTGTTTATCAATTAGCAAACGTAGGATAAATAATATGTAATGAAAACCAAATATTTCGTATATAAGAGAATATATTATAGAAGGAGAAATGATTATTGTAATTGTAATTACATTGTAAATATGGAGAAATTTTATATAGAAGAAGAAATTATTATATATTTTTATTTATTTATGTAATAGGAAACTGGCGAGAAACATTTCTCGCTTCGCTCGCTTTTGATGTCACCCCTTCGATCTTTCGAGATGTATCGCGGTAGCGGAGAGAGCGTGCCTCGGCAACACGTCTCGGCGGGATGCGAGAGCCCATTCAGGATCACGTCGTACCCTACACACACCGGCATTCGGCTACGACGCAAGCGTAGCCCAGTAGCCCGTGTGCGAGTCCTACTACACTAGATATCTCGTTTGTAGGGCAGGGTCGCGGGGCGAGGGGGAAAAAAGGGGGGGTTAGGGGGGGTGAGAACGGCCTTTATCGAGCGGCTTCTGCGCGAGCTCGCCTCGACGTTCTCGACGTTTTCACCCTCAGGGGCGGATTACCCCCTCCGACACGTCGCCAGGAACATCGCGGAACGTGTGATTGCTGTCTCTTGGCTCGGAAGACATCGCGAGGAGTTTTAATCCTCATTCAAGTCAGACGAGGAATTTGCTGATCTAACAGCAAAGGAACTCTAATTTAAAACTCGCGGAGATTCTCTTCCATTTCTTAATTGTAGATTTTTTATTCACAATATTATTATTTATCTAGAGACTAGTTAGATTGAGTACAGATTATAATCTTTTTAAATTCCAGAAAATCTGCATATACGCCCCATATACGTCGTCAGAGTCTCGCGGAGACAGGGGTTTCTTCATCTCGAGCCAGGATCCGAACCGTCTGAATTCGGTCCTGCCGATCCCCACCGCGTGTCGCGCCTTCTACCCCTTCCCATCTCGTGGCGACAAATCTGTTACGAGATTTCCACCTTCATCCTCGCCCACCTCATGGCAATGAATTTGAACGGGACGCAGATTCCCGCGAACGGGGTGAGAACGACGACGTTGGGCATTCGCGGCGTCTGCGTCGGCTCCTAAAGAGAAAGGGAGAGAAAGAGTATGATTCTCCCTCTGTCTTTCGCCGCGGATCCAGACGCTATCTTCGGTTCCGGGCCCAGCGCGGCGGGCGAGATTATAGTTCCTCGAGAAGGACGGCCGGAATGTCCCTCCCGACGGTGTCTCGCCACCGACACGTCGGGCTGATCTAGCCTGTCGGGCTAAACGTCATCCACCGCGACAATCGATCGTAATAGTGCTTCAAGAGCTCAAGGTGTGCGTCCTCCGAGTGTGCGAGTCTGCGACCGTCCTCGCGACGTGTGGATCGTCGTTCTTCGTCGTCTGTCATCCGTCTGGTCCCGACGGCGCTCCCAGGCGTCCTCAGGTGTCTCAGGTGCGGGATCCTGCCACAGGACGAGCCGTGCCATGTCAAAACTGGCGAAACGCGCATTCGAGACAGGCTGTTCGCGCGCGTTGATAGGATCTACCCCACTATCCTGCACGTTGCTCTAGCCGCTGTTCCACTACCCTCCCCTGCTTCTCCTCGTCGTCGCAGTCCAGTTTCCCCCACTTTACGCGCACCCCGCCTTTTTTCTCTCTCTTTCTCTCTTTTTCTCTCTTTCTCCTTCTCTCTACTCTTTTTTCACCCCTCGCTTATTACCACCGGGAAAACCCCTGCGTTTGCTCCTCGCGCGCTGCACCTCGCCGAGAGCGGGGTAGTTTTCGTACGAAGCGCCCTTCCGTCGAGTCGCTGAAAGAGAAAGAGAGAGAGCGAGAGGGAAAGAAAGGGGGAGAGGGATAGGAAAGAGAAGGAGATAGGAACGCACACGAATTGCGGTGCAATCCGCTGCAACGGTGTGTGACAGACGAGGCTGGAAGTGTAACCGAACGATGGAATTAAAGAGGCGTGATCCGTCGCGATCGGCCGCCTTGGGAATTTCTCCTCGCGGAAGCGGTTGAGCGAAGTGCAAACGGTTTCTCGTCCGTTCCGGCTGGTCTCGGAGAAAGAGAATGAGATAGATAGATAGAGAGATAGAGAGCGAGAGAAAGAGATAGCGTCCCGCGAGTGCAACGAGCTAATCCGCGATAACGGAGAGCAATCTCTCCCAAAGGGATTTTCCCTGACGTCCTTCTTGCGCTATCAGTGTGGAACGTGAATTGTGCAGGTGCGTCTCGAATCGAATCGCTCTTTTTATCCTTTATCTTTTCGGACTTTCGTTTGATCTTGAACGTGTCGAGTCAGACGCATTTCTTAACGAAGCGTTCGTTCATCGCGAGTGATGAGATTATTTGTTAATCTTCATAGCTATCTTGTTATTTCGTACGTAAATAAATGTTCTAATATCTTCGTTCGTTTAAGCATTCATCTCGTCCTTCTGTATTGAGAGAAATATCAGTTGGGTGCAAATTTGCCGCATCATTTATAATACGTACAGCTTTTAGCTTAATTACAGCTAAATCGCGATATGCATGCGAGGTAATCAAAGCGAGATGAGAGATTGAGATCAAAGGGAATCCAATGGTCGATCTAGATAATAATTCACGAAAGGATTTTATGACGTGCGTCTTTGGCACCCTCGATTTTAACGAATTAATTCTATGCGATTGATCTGCATGAGAGAAAAAATTTACCGCACAAACGTTTCGAGTGACAGCATCCGATTCGTCGGGTACGATTGGTTTTCACTGGATTTGCCGGCCGCACATATATATCGGCTCATAGTTTTATTTTAAGAGTAGGTCAACATCGTGGGACGCACGCTGCGCTTTAGCATGCAATTGCATTTGAATCTGAATGGCAAATTGATAACTTTTATACAGTAGCAACATAGAGCGGCCTCCCAGTTGCGAATATATCCACAAATCTGGACGATATCGAATATTCTGATGGGAGATTATTCATGTTCATGCCAGTGATTGTAATACCGATATTTCGCTCTCCGAAATGATGAAATACTCTCTCTAAAATAAATTACATTTTATATAGAGTATTATTAGATTAGGCTAATTAGAGAACTTTATAGTCTTTCATTGATTGTAACCGCAATAAATCAAATATGTATTTTTATGTATATTTATTATTGTATTCATTTTTGTATTATGCAAACCTCTTTACACGTACATATATAACGCCGATAACATAATACTGATATCAGCGATCAGAGATTAAATCACGTATATAGATAAATAATGAAAAATTATTACCTTATTCCGGTATTGCAATCACTAATTTATGGCTTCTCATCACGATGGAGTGTTAATCTATTAACAGCCAATGTTTCATTTTCGGGACAAAAGTTTTATTGTGAATAAAATGATTTTCGAAAATGTTGAAAATGTAATTTAATGAAAATAATCCTTTAAACTTTCCAGTGTTTAACTTTCAAATATTAAATTACCAGCTGTTTAATGATTGTAGTATTAATTCGAGATTAAAAAAAAAAAAAGATAAAAGCACACGCCTCGTGACATATTTAAAATTTGTTATATATTACATTTAAAGGACTGTTAGTTTTTAATATAAATAAGCGTTTCTGAAATTATGTTTAAAATTATTTTTTTTTTTTATTTGAAAATCTTTTCTGAAGCTCCATTTAAAAGAATTTTTTTAATTCTTTCACGTATTTAAGTCTCCTTCCACGTATCTCTTTAACTAATTGTAAGATTGTTATTTATATCCTTGTGTGACTGCAATAGATTAAAACTCATAATTCATACTTACTAACTAGCGACGTGGCATTAAGTTACGAGGTCGTCGTGAAGTGCCCGTGAGTTGTGGTTGCAATTAATATAACTTTCAGCCACGTCAATGTAGTTTCAACTTCTTTCTTGGCAGTCGACCAAATTAATATACGTTCCAACTGAAAAGGCGAAATTTCTTGGACGTCGTCGTATCGCAATTACGTCAATATTCGATTGCGTTTCATCGAAAGTAAACACTTGTGAGCAAACAAAGTGCTATACATGCTACATCTCGCGCGTTTCGAGCATTCGATATGTTTCGTCTTGGCGAGCGAAATCAGAGCGCATGCTGCAACGCAAAGTGTGTTTTGCCGTCATGCAGCAAAATGCATCCCGTCAGCACCGAGCCAATATATTGAGCTAGAATTTACATAAACGCATATGCAGCCTCGCGCTTCTGCCATATTCGAGTAGTGTGTACAAGCAAAACACGTCTATTCCTATGCGCCACTTTGGCCACGGGAGCGCTATTTTTCTGCCAGAGGAAATATCGCGGCTCGGTGTCCGTGACAGTGAACAGAATTTTCTCTGTGCGATCAATCGCACCTCTTAGATATTGCACGGAAATTTAAACATTGAATGCAACTGAATCTGGACGCGTTGGACACCATTAAATCTACCACCCGGTTGGCAAAGTGGGTTAACGTACTGCCAGTCCTTACAATCCATCTTATTGATCTTAAAGTAATCAATATAAGCTCGTGTTCTTTAAACCCCGTCCTTGTCCGTTTTCTGAAACAATGCCAGCTGGTTTTTTTTTCAAGATTTTAAAAATTTCGTTGCCATTCATCAGGCCACCATTTCGTGCCACGAGTGTTCGCTATTTCCGTGTTCTGCGATGATGCAGCTGTGCTCCCGACGTACGTAACTTAAAAGCGCGTCGTTGTTCGCTCGCGAAATTAAATTCCTCGGTTTGCGTTCGCGTCATTTTTAAGACGACTACCGAGATCACGCGACACACGTCGGGAACGCCGGCAATTTATCAATAACTTGTCCCACTTTCTCGAAAGAACAAGCGCACGTTTCCTTCCTCATGCGAGGCAATCTTGCACCACGTATCGCTAATCGATACCCAAGACAAATTCCTTCCACCGCGTTATTTTCGCTGCGCCAGCCATCTATCTCGTCCACGTCTTTTAACCGATATTTTTTTCTTTCTTGCAGAACGTCACGATCGCAGCAGGTAACTTCCTAAAGACGGTTCTATTTTTTCGAGACACACCACTACATAGACACCGCTTTGTGCATTAGAAAGTCGATCGCTCCGGCTCGCGCGCCGAAGGTCCGCTTAAAACACGGCTCCTTTTCGTTTCCCGTGGCCGCCCGAGGCCAGGCGAGGCAGAATCCGCATGTAAATGGAATCTTCCCCGTTGAGACAACCATACGGGAGTTCTTCGATAAAGGGGCCGCGAAAAGCAAGTCGTGAATATAAATGCGCCCTCGCGCTTTGAGAATCAGAACGTGCCGGATGCCCCCGTTCCCTGAAACGCAGCCTCGCATTACATAGACAGATGCAGCTGTCCCGCGTTATCGAGAGGCACGATTGCAAAAGTGATAAGCGAGACGGAGACTCTTCCAGCGTAGAAAATTCAGAATAACGTCATGCATGATAATGTTATCGGGAGCTGGAATAAATCTAACACGCCGATTACCGTGTTAGAGTAATAACGTAAATTATCAAGGCGACAGACAAAAGAACAGAGACAAAGATAGAGAGAGAGAGTGATAATACTGCGAATGTCGAAGGAAAAGGTGGATGGAATCGAGAGACACGTTGTCCATGCATTTTCGCGCTGCGTGCCGCCGATGATACGAGCGAATACGCGTCAGCTTACCGGAGCCTCGATCTGTTCGTCGACGATGCTGCTTGACAAACAACACCACCTCCTTGCCCATGAGGATCGAATCGGATCGTCGAGAAATAAACTCAAGAGACTGAAGATGACGACGGCTGAACGAAGACCTGTGCACGACCTGTCGCGTTTTTAAACAGCAGATAAACTAAGAACGCGCTCACCATCGCGCCGGCATCATGGGGAATGGCATGAACAAGGTGAGAAATTCTTTTTTATCAAGAAGCTTGTACTTTTAGATCGATAGTCGTTTAGCTAAAGGAAACATGCATTTTTCATACCGGCAGAAACTTGGATCGAGTTCGGGAGATAGTCTAGAAATCGTATAGGACGTCTTATTCTTTGTGAAATGAATATATTAAATATTTACCGCTTTGGACCGCTTTTCGGTGGGCACAAATCCCAAAGCGGAGTCGAAACGTTCGATATTTAATTTGCATTTATTTAACAACTCCCGAATAATTTATTTGATAATATTTCATCCTCTGTTTCCTGCATTTTTAATGATCAGTCTTTCTCATTATCTGTTAATTGAATATCTGAGGGCTTCTTTACCTTTACTGTTTTAAGATATTCGATTTGTTTCTATCTTCTCGTATCGTCTTCTTTAGCGTATTAATAGACAGCAATTAATTGGGCACTGTATACAGAAGATTTAACAAAGTATCCGAGCGTCTAAAGCAACTTGTCTTAAAAGACGAGGTCTTAAAAGAAAAGGAAATATTGATTTAATTAGTTGTTTTCTATTAAATAATTCCGTTTAAAATCGTTTAAAGTTATCTTTTTCTTTATAGAGAGTTAATTATATTTAATTGTTGTTCCGGATTGTAAATATGCTATTAAATAAGCGTTATAAAATAAGGCTAGCGGATCTTCGTTAAACGCATCTGTTTCCTCTCGTCGCAACGGGGTGAGATTTTTTTTTCATAGCCAATGTTTATGATTAAAAAAAATTGACGCTTTAAATAAATAATTAAAATAAACCTGAAAATTTATTAAATAAACAATTAGCGTCAATTTTTAACCCATAAACATTGTAGTGTTTTTAATTACCTACATTAAAAAAAAAAGCGTTCAAATCCGAGTAGTTTTAACCGGTTCCGAGATAAAAACCTAATTTGCCTCCACTAGACATTAGATACTCCATAATCAAGGGCGCTCATAAAGGTTAGGTATAAAATCGCGCTTCCTAGACCATGACCCTAGACAAGTCGTCAGACATTTTTATCGTTCTCTCCCTCCTCGGCAGTATATTAAGTTAAAATATCGAGCCTCTTTCGACGTCTGCTTGGATGAAAGATTACTTACGATTAGATGACGAAAGAAATCCAGGTCACACTGAGGGAGAAATGCTAATACAAAGCTGCGTGATGGATTCGTAATGGCCGTCGACGTGATGCGGTAATCTTAGATTAACTTACTGTTTGGCAAATATTGAATTTTGATGAAAGGCGTTTAGCTACAGATGGGCGGCATACATTAATGAAATCCCACCCGCGTTGTTTCCTCATTCCACGATTATCCGCGACTAATATTGATTCAGTTTTTAACGATGCGGCGCGATGAGGATCGTTTTTTTTTCTTTCATTGAGTTGGAGGATCGGGTTAACGCGATGGGCGATAAGCAAATTAAGACGTTCAGAGAAGCAATCTAGCGTGGTAATCACTTGGACCGTTCGCGTGTGTGACATTTATTTTCTCGTCGCAATGGGCTACCTCGAAAATACCCATTCTCTCCCGGCGCGGGTCGTTAGTCTCGGTTCCCCCGCGATTTAATTTCATTCGAAATGTTCTTATCGCGCGTTGATTACCCTCTCCTCTACCCCGGTGTTGCAGTCACCGAGTCTGCTCCCTCCTCCGTTTCTTCACGCGTTGATTTTAGACGAGAAGGAACGACCGAATCGACGAGACCACAGCGAGCGATCTACCGAGCGGCTGGCGGCTGTCGTCACGCGATCCGCGGTCAATCGATCGATCACAAACAAAGAGAGGAGGGAAATCCGGAAATCAAAGCGTAAAACACGGGAGAACGACACGTCCGTCTAATGAAGAAAAAATAACGATAAACAAGCTGTCGTGCAGCCGGCATTGTTGGCGAAAATGCGATTCCGATCGCTCGTGGTCTCCTGGTGTGTTTGCGCGATTCACGGCAGCGTGCAGATAGCATCGGGGCATCGATCGCTCGACGAGACATCGCGATCCACCTATCATCCATCCGGTGACATCGAAACCCTCCTCATACATTCATCGAGAAACATCCCGAACTTGCCGTCATCCGTTCTGTTACTTCCGGTGTCCCGACCTCATTTTCAATCGAGATACGCCGTGGACGCGAAGCTGGCCGGGGCCGGGGTCGACGAGAAAACCGGGCATCGAAGATCGGTAAACCCAACGACGAGGGAGACGGCCGATCGCGAGAAGATCGTCGAATCCTTCGCGAAGCGCGGATCGCGCCCGCGCCGTAAACGAAGAAAGAAATGCAGCTGCCGAAAACGGGACGATTGGAAAAAAGTAGGATCGTCATTGCTTAGGTACGAAGCACGCATAAAGTTTGTCAAATCGTCTATCCTGAAAAGCCTATTTATTCCTGTTGGCACTACCAACGTCCTCGCGAGTACTCTGCTGAACAATCTGAACCCTACGTCGGAATCAACGACGCCGCAACGTTTCGCGGATATTGGCTTTACAACCACCGACGCTATCCCGCCAGCGGTTAACGCAATGACGATCACGGATGCTGCGAAGATTGCTACGAAGAAAGCTGACAACCTACCCAGTGGAAGCTACCGGCGAAACTTGTCCCGTAATCGATGCAAGAAGATCAAATGCATGACAAAAACTTGCAAAAAGAAAAGAAAGGAAAAATTGAACGTTATCGACGTACTCGCTCAGGAATTTCTTCGAGATGATCATGAGAACGCGACACTTCACGAACACGATCCCAGTCCGCTGGAGAACGAGGATCTTCGAGCGATCGTGGGATAAAATGGACCGCAACGAGATAATATGCGGCTCATATGCTTCGATATATAATCGTGATGTACAATGTTGCTATAAGATATACAAACAAAAACACTATATCATAATTTATAAGATACGTCGTAAAAGATACGAGAAACTTTGACATTATCGGGCAACATAATTTAAGGGAAAAAAGTCACGTGGATGTAAATTCCGTTTTAAATAATTGAACTTTATATTTTGTAGTAGAAAAAATGTATCAAGTAAAATTGAGACAATTATAAATACTGCGTTGCTTTAACTAAGTTAATTGTTTCAACACGTTTCCTTTCGTCTTTCTGAAATTGCTAAACTTGTATGTTCCGTCGTTGTTAAATCTTGTGATTATATAATTTTATTTTAAAATAAAGCCGACGCGTTTACATATATGATATTTTCTATTTAATACAATCAACGAATTATCGAAAGATATTATGCTTTATATATGTACATAATTTATATTAAAGTAGAAGATGAGTAAAATTATAAATTGCGGTTTCCTTTCGAGGAAGAAATATACATTAAAAGCTACAACGAGACCACATAAAATTATCGACTGATTATTTATTCATTTAACGATCCTCATCGCGAAATGTATCGTATATTTTATAAATCATCGTCGAAGGGGGATTAGCGTAAATGAAGTTTCATTTCGCAACATTTCTCTGTCAGGCTTATCTCTTGCACTTCCGTTTCGCAATTACGAGCTGTACGATCGCGCGTTACTAGACGTAAAATTTTATTATTATCAAGCGTATTATGTCGGTCGTTAAGCGCGAGGTTACGACAGCGCTAGGTAAGTCGTTATATTGAAATGCGTTTAAACAAGTTGTCGAGTAATAAAGACGTGAAGTCAATCCTTCGGTCAGAATGGAACTTATAGTCACGCTATAAAAAGGAAACCCCCGTTGCGACGAGAGGAAACAAATGCGTTTAACGAAGATCCGCTAGCCTTATTTTATAGCGCTTATTTAATAGCATTTACAATCCGGAACGACAATTAAATATAATTAGCTCTCTATAAAGAAAAAGATAACTTTAAAGGATTTTAAACGGAATTATTTAATAGAAAACAACTAATTAAATCAATATTTCCTTTTCTTTTAAGACCTCGTCTTTTAAGAATTATCTAATGTCAAACGTTGACAATCAGTTAACGTATATCAATTAAAACTCGTCGCAAAATGTGTGCATCTCCGCAATTCCCTCGCGTTATTGTTCGCAGGTGCTTCCTGGTCTTTATATAGGTAATTATCAGGACAGCAAGGACGCCGATCAGCTGGAGCGTTTCGAAATCACGCATATTCTGGCTATTCACGACACGGCCCGCCGTTTGCATTCCGTGAGTACAAATGATATATAGCAGCGTATAGCACAAAGTGTGGCCGGATAAAGCATGTACCGAATTTGAGAATCAATAGCTATAGTTGGGTAATTAACGGAAGACTTCAGATTAGAAACGTTTATATTTTTGTACAAAAATAAATATACTCGGACTAAATCTCCGATTGCGTTTCAGGACAAGCATTACCTATGCATCTTGGCCGCCGACAGTCCCGATCAGAACTTAACGCAGTATTTTTCTCTGTGCAACGACTTCATTCATTCCGCCCGTCTTCGCGGTGGAAACGTTCTGATCCATTGGTAGATATATATTCATTGTTGTAATAAATACGGAATGTCTCGAAATTGCTGGGATGTCCTTTCCTGTAGAATTTTTTTTATCGATTTTTAAATATACTTTTCCTTAATGTAATAAAATATTGAAAATTTTAAAATATCTATAATTTTCAAATGATTAGCAATTAGAGGAGTAAATTTTGTTAACGAGAAGTAGACGGAAAGTAAATTTTGTTAACTTAAGGAAGGTGTAAATTGGTCCAAGAAATTGTGATTAGAAGAACATCCAACGATTTTGACAATATAGAGTATTTCAAAATTTTACAAAATTGCGATTTATAAAAGTATAAAATAAAATGAAAATTTTTATGAATAAAGATAATTTTTTTCAGTCTTGCAGGAATGTCGAGGAGCGTGACAGTAGCGGTGGCCTACATCATGAGCATTACTAATCTCTCCTGGAAAGAGGCGCTTAAAGTCGTTAGGGTCGGTCGATCCATTGCAAATCCGAATGCCGGTTTTCAACAGCAGCTCAAGGACTTCGAATCTAGCCGCTTACAAGACGTAAGTAATAAACAAACGCCGGAATGTAGTTACGAAAAAGTCTTCTCGTATCAGTACTCTATTCTATCAGAAATCTTCAAATCGTAGTCGATGTTATTTTACATTTACATCATCAAATTAGATTTCTATATTGTATTATATCTTGATGCAGGAGCGTAATAGGTTGAAAGAGCGATTTCCCAGCCTCGCTCTTGCCGAATCCGACGCCGAGGTCTGCAGCTCTACCCTGAGGAATTACGAAACGCTGGCCCTAGCGAAAGAGGTGTGCGAGGGTAAGTGCGCCATGGGACGCACTTGTCCAACCGGGCTTTGCCGTCAGGCAACTTCTAAGAGGTAATTATATCAAAATTTTTAATTATAAAGCGATGTACATATTTTTATTATATTCAATAATATATATAATGTAGCAAAAAACTACGTCTATAAACAATTTATATAAGCACTAGAAAATTTAATAAAAAACGAAGATGATAAAGACTGCAGTGTAGAATAAACAATGTATATAAATTTGCAGGACTTTAAGAAGAAAGTCATCCACCAGCAGTATCGGAAGCGCGTCATCCGGCAGGACACCTCCGCAAACACCCCGGATGCTTCCGTCCGCACCACCCTCGCCGGCTTTGCACAGATCATCCAGCATTGTGTCCACATCGAGACCACGGAGTGGACCGGCAGGATTGCATTCTTACACCGGAGGATCCGCTCCACCTTCTAGGTAACAGTAATCCTTTCCGGAAGATCTTATCTTCGCTTTTTCGTATCTATATGAAATTATTTAATTGAAAACGTTACGACTTAGTACTTTAATTGCCACATTTACATTTATAAAAATAAGATAAGATTAAAAAGAAAAGAGATATTTTCTTACAAAGAAAGTAGGTTGTTTATTAAAATATGGAAAATAAATATCATATTTATTTTCGAACGTTATTTGGATGCTGCAAAGGCGTTTTTCAAGTTTTCCGAAAGTTGATTAACGTTGATCACACACAGAACTGCGTCGAGGGTGGACCTTTCGGCGGCAGTGGCTTGCAGCAGCAGCAACGCCAGCCTCTCCGCCGTGGGCAGATCGAGCGCGTTCTCCAGTAGCAACTGGCGATTGACCGCCGGTTCCGCTCCGAACACGCCGAGACCGACGCCGCCGGTCTCGCCGCAATGCTGGCCGAGGCGACTCTCGAATCGGCAGACGCCGCAGTTGCCGGTACCACCGGATTCACCGGAATCCCATCCTTCGACAATGACGTAGCAGCGGGACTTGCGCGGTTCTCTGTCGAGCCTGATGGAATAACGAGCCGAAGGAGATCGGCGAACCGCTCGAGGATTTTACCACCAACATTATGCGCTCTTCATCGTCGGCAGATTAAATTACGAATTTGCTATCATTTTTTGGACGCGATTATTTGGATGAGTCCTGGGAGGAAATTTCCGGTAAAAGAGAAAGGAAAGATTTCGATGAAGGTATCTATGAATTATATAAAGACGTGCCTGCGAATGTTTTTTACATGTTTGGGACATTTGGGATATTTAGTGGAACGTATAATCCGGCGGAGTTTGAAACACTATTACGGATAAATAATGATCTATGTGATTTTGCAAGATGGTATGTGTCGGCTCGATTTGAACTCGGGTCGGCGAGGAAAACGACGATACATGCGCGTAACGCGTTGTTGGAAATTGTTGGTGACATTGACTTATACAAGTTGTTACATGTTGTTGCTTATACTCAGCGAGAAAGTGCTTTTACCGCGAATGGGATGGGAAACAACGAGATTCTCTTCGTACGCATCGGGAACACTTTGTGTTTTAAATTTCGCGTCCTACGATTATCTTCGTCCTGATGATTAGATTCTCTCAACGGAGAGATACGAGTAACGACATCGATGGATACTGTGACAATCTGTTATTCAAATATATCACGAGGTTGAATTAGTACGCTCGCGTAACGGATCGATGTGTGAGGTGAAGTAGTAAATTGGAAAGATTGACACATTCGGGACATGGTATTAATCCTTTGGGGCTTTATCGGTTACAACGATAATTGCGTGCAATTAAGTGCGACTGGTTATTTCGCGCTTTTTACGGCGTCGTTCAATCGCGCTAATAATGCGCTCGTTAACGATTCCCGCGTGCAATTTCTCCCTCGGAGATAATGCGCGAATCGTTACCACCTAATCATTGGTTGTGAAAAAGAATATTGCTCAAAGCGGCAATTATGCAATACATACAACAACGTTCCCAAAGGATTAATTAGAAAAGGAAAAAATATATATAATCGAACACATGAGCGCTCAAATGTAGCTTGATAGTTTTGAAATTGATCGCGTAGCGTAAAGTGAAGAGCTGTCGAAGAATATTTTTCGATAGAACTTGCGGCGTGTGTGTGTGTGTGTGCGTGTGTGTGTGTGTGTGTGTGTGTGTGTGTGTGTGTGTGTGAGTGAATGTAGGTGAGTCGTGACGTGTTAAAAGAGAATGAGAATATAAAAAAAAAAGATTGCTTCCAGATCCATACGCGATTCAAAAATTTGTCGTACGAAAGACCGAACGGTTTTGCGCGATTACGTTCGTAGAAAATGAAGAATCTTCGTTCCACAAACCTGTTCCATTAATTTCGTTCGCAACCGTCCATATGATTGTTGGCTTTCTAGCGAGATCGCACTGTTTTATCACAAGTTGTTGAAGAAGCAGGGATAATTACATACATATATATACTATACACATACACACATGTTGGAAACGTTCACGTACATTGTTGTGCGAAGGGCTTTCAGAAAATTTTATAAGCGCGTTGGTCGTCGGTGATCGCAATTATATTATTATATACAAGTAAAGTTGTAGTATATAGGCATTAGGCAAAACTGTTGTTGTTGTCTCGTCAGCACGAGCACCAGTCGTTTACGAATGAGTCGAGATTTAGGATAACGTCGCTTCGATCCCCCTCAGTATTACTAGTGTGCACGATAAAGTAACGTAGATCGTTTTTTAATCGTTTTCATGTACGTTTCACGTACACGCGGGCAGCTATGAGTCGCGACAAATTATTCGATGTGCAAGCAGTCGTTACACCAGCCGATCTTATCGAATGCACATTTTTTCTGCCATTATTCGTGTACATTTTTTAAAGAAACATTCATGTTATTCACGAACAAAGTTGGATTCACAAACATTCTATAGACACTCCTGCAAGAAAATAATAAATTCTTAAGATATTTTTTTAACAATTAGCACAGGAGTTGTGTTCGACCAATAAAAGATAAACAAATTCATAAAAATTAACTTTATTATACTATATATTAAAAAGATATATATTAAAAAGACAGAATAATTAGAGATACAAATTATTATTTAATTGTAAGAGCAAACTTTTAAGATTGTTAGATTACATCAACTCAAATTTTATTGAATTTGAATTAGATGAAGATGAAGGGTTGTAGTTATCTACAAAATAACTGAAGAGAAAGCAATATTTTACAAAAAAATGATAATATATATACATACATATATGTATATAGAGTGTTTCATTATCACCGTAAAATGCTTTCAATCACGTATATTCTGGAGAATAGAAAATCTTACAATTAGTATTAAAATGTCAAGGTCGCAATAATTTCGAGTTATAAGCCAAGTTGACTAATGGTACCGTGCAACGTTCGCACGCTTAGGCTGTATTGATCTGTCATCTATTACTCATTTTCACGTGATATAGATTTTTGCTGCTCAGCTGATTCTATTTTTAGTTTCTCATATATTATATATATACATTTTGAAATGCAAGGGAAAGAATATTCGGCATTTATTTTATAATGCGTTAAATATTTCGGAATGACGAAGGCTATTTACATACCGGTTGGTACACAATAGCGCATGGCGCTCATTTTTGCGTGCTGTCGCACTACTTATAATTAGGTGACACAATCTACATACAATAATTAAATCTAACTAGTCGTATATGAAATCTGTTCTTAAATAATTCTTTCTCGAAGATAACATCGAGTACTAAAATTGGGGATATAAAAATTGTACTTGCATAAAGTTTGTACGTTTGAGAATTAATCTCTCTTGTCATCATTTTTTCATTTGTTTTATACGACATATCACATTTCCAATAGCTTCCCAGATAAAATTTTTACGCTAATACAATGTTGATATTAAATTGCCCATTTAAATATCAAATATTGATTTTGGTATACTCTTACAAAAGTTATATTTAGAAAATTATTTATTTTAAAATTTTTGTTAAAATAAGTAACTTATTAAATATTTCTATATATTACCAAAATATTAGCAGAATTTTTTAATATCTAATGCATTAAAAGTTATTTTAACATAATGCATTTTATATCGATATGTAATTCTGAAATAATCTACATAAAAAGTTTTATTCTAGCTGTGACGAAATAATTATTGGATATCTTATACCTTTCTGTTTTATTTCAAGTAATATAAAGTCAGTATATAAATATGGATGAGTAGACTATTGAAAGATTAATATAAAATCGGAACATTATAAGAACATGTGCAATTAATAATTATTAATGCAGTTTCTTTAAATAAATTAGTCAAAATCTGCCATTTGATTATAACATACTGTATAGTGTTATAATCAAATTGTTCTTTAAGTTTGCTGCATATTGAAAAAATTGTTGACCATTTCCTTCTTTCTTTTTTACACAATTTTATATAACTATGTATTATCTAGTTCTTTATATATTTAAGAAGAATATATCTATATAGGGAGACCTAAAATTCTATTTTAAAAATATGTGGGAAGGAAAAATAAAAAAATATTTACATTAACGCAGATAAATATCAACTTTTTCTACGTGTTTTTGGGCATACATAAATTTATTCCTATTACACATAAATATACACACGCGTATATATGCATTTATATATAATAAAGATATATATGGGTCATTCTGGCTGAAATTTTCACACAAGCGCTATTTTTGTTATATATTTTCTCAGTTATGCGAGATGTACGTTACTAAAAATAACGCGTGTAGCTAAAGATTAAATAGTACTGCAGCATTATTTATCATTTTTTATCAAACTATTGCTCTACAAAAGCTCTGTTATAACCTTATAACCAAACTATTTTCTACCTGTTTTTTATTTATGCGAATGTAAAACTTTTCCTAAAAGTTTTGAATGGCATTTTGTTTGCATGGTATTTTAATTAATATTCTATTATTTAATACGACACCGAAATGAGCCAATAAATGACCAAACCGGTTAATAATACATTAACAACAATAAACCCTATGAGTTTTGTAGTTTGTGCATTTGTGACTGCATAATAGATCGATGAACGGTTACACATTTCCCACAATTAAATATTTGTGAGTATCAATGTGTGTCCTATATATATAACCGATCCATTTCAAGGCAATAAATCTGTTGTATCTATCCGTAATATTTACGAACCCATTATCAGATTAAAGTAAAAGGTAATTTGAGACTTTATACCGATATCACGCGCAACGACGTATAATAATAACAATACATTGATCTGCAAAATAGAAATATAAAATTCAAATTGTAGCAGCGTCTAAAATAATTTAAATCTCGAAAAATAATTATTCCACACACTCAATTTTTCAATTAGATAGTTAATAAAATAATTATACGACTGCCAAAAAAATGTTTTTAAGCATAAATCTTTACAATATTTTCTAAATAAGTCTTTTTTCTAATTCTTATATAGATCACTCAAATAAACGAGCCGAATAAATGGAAATAATTGATTAATTCCGCAAATAAAAATGTACCCAACAAATGCTTAACCACCGCTCGATGCCGCCAAGGCCTTCTCCCTGTCTCTTATTTCTTCGTTGTCGCTTCTTCATTGACACTCACACAACTTTAATGCATGAAGATACAGTTAATTACACTTGCGCGCGCGACTAATCACCAGAATAACGACCGTGCGGTACTTAAGGCGGCAGTTCTAACATTAACTGTACGCGACGTGTATTTTATTACATCGCGACGAAAGAACAATGCGAGAAAAGATCCGCTGCAGTACTAAATATATTGTTTTTAGCTACCCTTTTCTACTTTAAGCAACAAATAGTCTCTGCACATGTTGTAGAGCAATTGTCATTTTGAATAATAAATAACCGGTTGGTTAATATAAACAACCGGATAATGTTGGATAATATAAACAGTCAAAATTCAGCACTGCACGCGCAATTCGCGAAGCACACGTATTATTAATAAATGGTCCATACGTCATGGCATGGCTTTCTGTTGAATTACTCGATCCGATTTGTGTACTGTTAAATTATGTACTATAATGATGTAATAATCCAATACGATCCGCGTTTTCAATACAAAAATAATGGTTGAATCATACCCAAATCGGCGAACTCTTAATATATTCGAATGTATTATTTAAGCATTCCTAAAAAAATAATCCATAAATACCACAACAGAACAAGTCCCATCCTTTATTATCGCCTCGATTCCTATAAATCGCCATGTATGTATTTCTCAGTGCTGAGCAATAAAAATCCAACAAATAACAGATAATTATTCACGGCAGATTGATACGCATATAAACGCGTGAATATTAGGATTTTTTACTCTAATCTCCACAAAATGCGCTATTAAAACATTTATATGATAAATATGAGACACTCTATATTAAGAACAAAGTAATTAGAAGTAAAACTAATCGCATAGTATCGATTAAGGTCCCCGAATATCTAACAACAAAATTAACATTAAATAATTTCTTTATCCACGTAAAAGACAATATTAATCAAATACAACTCTGTTCGTGAGTCAGAACAAAGAGCAGAGGATAATTCTCAATCATCCTATACATATATAACCGTCAAGGAAATTGGCATGACACGAACGTTATTACGAGTTTCTCTGCGAACGCACAATCGGGCACGAGTTTTCATTTTGCGAAAAAATAGTATGCCATGGAAAATGGGGTAATTCGGAGTTTAATGTCGCAATAACAGTGTCTGCCGTTGAGATCGCATCCGTGTGAAACAGCTGCGCCACGTGTCTGGCTTTAGTGTCAAGCCTATCTCCGGCGTGAGGTATCGGTAGAACGTTCGCGTTTAATGTTCTTCATAAAAACGCGCTAATTAGTCCGCATGATCAAGCTGCATCTTAACACACTGTACGGCTAACGCCGATCGGGCGCAGATGAGGGCGATCGAGGATGTTTTCGTACATATCATCCGCATTTAAATCCACGTACCTACACACATACATATTTATTACATATATGCGTGCACACGCACACACATATATTTTGTAAGGTCGCGATATACGAGAGATCGATGTATTCGGGCAGAGAGACGATCAGCCGTAAAGAATTTAAATCTATGCATTTAGCGTGTGTCCCGGTTTCACGGAGCGAACAGGCGACTTTCCCCGATTCAAGAGAGAAAATTTATTGTTTATTGAAATTTTTATTTTTCTTCACTCCCCCGCCCCCCTCACCCTCCCCCCGTTGCTCTTATTAGTCGTACAAAGTGGTCCAAGAGGAGCCGAGAATACAAATCTGTGATCGCTATATTTTTGGAAAACCTACAAGGATATTCGCTCAGTGTGACTCGGGCCCGCACACTTTCTATAGGCGACGTAGATGGTTCTACTTTTTTACAGCGTCAATGTTAACGATCACACATAGGTAGATAGGTAGGTAGGTAGGTAGGTAGGTAGGTAGGTAGGTAGGTAGGTAG